GTCAAACAAGTCGTCTATCCGAGGTATTGGGTACCTATTCTTGATGGTCACTTTGTTAAGTTGCCTGTAGTCAATACACATCCTCAAAGAACCATTTTTTTTTCACAAACAACACTGGTGCACCCCAAGGAGATACGCTAGGTCTAATAAACCCTTTATCCAGTAAATCTTTCAATTGCTCCTTCAATTCTCTTAACTCGGCTAGAACCATTCGGTATGGGGGAATAGATGGCACCACATCTATCCCAAAGTCGATGACCCAATCTAGTGGGACACCCAGAAGCTCATCATGAAGAACATCAGGAAACTCATTAACAACTGGCACAGATTGAATGCTAGCTACCTCTGCAGTTGTGTCTCTAACTCTGACTGAATGATAAAGACATCCCTTCGTAATAATTTTCTTTGCCTTAAGGTATGAAATAAACTTACCTTGAGGCTTAGCAATATTGCCCTTCCACTCACGAACTGACTCATTGGGAAACTCAAACTTGACCACCTTAGCACGACAATCAAGAATAGCGTAACACTTGTATAACCAATCCATCCCCATGATTACATCAAAGTCAACCATTTCTAGCTCAATGAGGTCTGTCGTAGTCTCTCGATCTTGAATTATAATCACACAACCCCTATAGACGCGGGAGGCAATAAGAGAATCTCCCACCGGAGTCGACACAGAAAATGGTTCAAGTAGTTATTCTGGCTCTATCCCAAAATCCAAAGCAAAGTACGGAGTAACATAGGAAAAAGTAGATCTAGGATCCATAAAAGCATAAGCATCTAGAGTACAAACATTAAGTATACCTGTGACGACTGCATCTAAAGCCTCTGCAATAGGGCGAGTAGGCATCGCATAAAAACGAGGATTTTTCCCCTAAGAAGTAGCAGCTATTTGCGGCACCTTTCCTGCATTACGCCTACTGTGGGCTCCATTACCCCTAAGTGGGCATGGTGCAACCGAAGTAGTAGCCATAGAAGGTGTCGGATGAGCTCTCAAACCCTGTTGCTCGTTAGGGCAAAACTTTCGGATATGACCTATCAACCCGCAACCATAGCACGGACAATAGTGTCCCTTGGTAACACTAGACTGACGCTGATGAGAACCCATACTACTCTGAGCCTGATGTGAAATACGGTGGCCACTCTGAACGGTCCTAGACTGATCTCCATGTCCGGAACTGTATGCCACTGGAGGGCTTTTGAAAGCTGTCTGCACCCTAGACTATGGTGAACCAGATGGCCCTCTACTACTCTGCCCCTTGCCTAAACTAGGCACTGCACTGAAAGTGCCAAAAGTGCGTGCCTTTTTGTTTTGCTCCCTGTTGGCCCTCTCCTCCTGATGAATCCTTTTGAGATCCATTGCTAGATCCACGAAGTCAGTAAAGGTAGTATTTCTTCTCCCATTAGCTATATCTTTTTTGTAGCCCGAAATCAAGCCACGAGCAAAGCAATCAATCTTCTCATCCTTAGTGGGGATTAGGTGGGGAGCATAACGAGATAATTTCTCAAATTTGATGCTATACTCTAGGACTGTCATGGTATCCTGCTTCAAGTTCTCAAATAATATCGCAAGGGCAGCTCTCACTCCCGGTGGTAACCACTTCTTAATGAAGATCTTCTTAAACTCCACCCAAACCATTGGAGGTGCATCCTCAGGTCTAATTTTCTCTATCCCTTTGAACCAGAGGTCAGCAATGTCTTTCAACTGGTATGCTGCCAATGGAACCACCCGCTAGTCTTTAACTCCCAGTAAAGTAGTAGCTTTCTCAACTTCCTCCAAGAAGTCCTGAGGGTCTGCAGTAGGATCTGTACCAGTGAAAACTGGCGACTCAAGTCTCACAAATTTCATGGCCAACTACGCCATGTCCTCAACCATTGGCGCTCTCATCTCTCCTTATTGGAGTGTTTGGATACCCATTTGAAGGTTCTGTTAGGTATGCATAGCCATGAGATCAACAAAAGTATCCATAGCCTTTCTAATATCAGTGAGTGTCTTTTCCAAGTGATTTGGTTCTGGAGGTGGAGCAGGTGCCCCATCAATTTCTTACTCGAGCTCTTAAACCAACCTTAGAGCCATTGGAACTGGCACTGTCCGTGTTCTTGCAACTTTTGGGGGTCAGCCCTAGGTCTAATGGGTTCCCCTCCTAAAGCCGCATCGGGTATAGGAGCAGCTTCCCGGTTCATATTATTGCCACGCATGTTCACCATCTATTGCTAATAGATATATCGTACGAGTTAGGAAATATTTCTTAGCTCTATTGCACTATTCTAGAATAAGAAGAAAGAGTGAAGTATTCTTACAATGTCAATATAGCCTTCTCGATATAAGTGTGGTACACAACATACCAATAAGGAGAACTCTACTAGACATGATTCCATAGACTTCCTCGGACTCGAATTAGAACCTAGGTCTCTGATACCAAGTTTGTGATGCCCTAAACCACGTGATCGACATCCGGTACTCTACCCGACCCGAGTGAACCATCCCATAAATTAATACTCATATATATGACTAATAGGGGATGTGAAAGCCTCTTCAAATACAATCATTTTTAAGATATAACCCAAATCATGAAAAATGAAAAAAAAAATCTTTAAGCAACTATTTTACTTCAAAAGAAAACTTCAAAAAGGTATAAGAAAGTTTCATTCATGCATGTCATATGAGTAACCATAGGATTACAACCCAAAAATGAATACTACTATTGTCTATAGAATCTCTATGACACGGAATGACATAGCCAACCAAGGCATAACCCGGTGGCTCAAAAGAATGATAATATAATAAAGTCCTCCATGGGTGCGAGGGTGGAGTCTCACCAAAAGTATCAACAGAAAATGTAGAGCTGCCCTATCCACGCGGTCCAAGCTGCCCAGGTCCAATCCTTGAAAACAGAAATGGAAATGTGACCAAAAGACCTAAGCTCCACATGTCTAATACGAATCATGAACTGTTCCCCAACAAAAATATATGACAAGCCTTAAGGAGTTATAAGATATGCAATAACAATTGATATAAGAAAGAAGCATTTGTATCAATTACCAATTTAGAAAAAAATAAAATGATAAGATAAAATATATTTCAATGTCTTCCTTTGGTGTTGATCTTTACAAAATCATGTTAGATTTTTCATTTAGCGCGAGCACTATACCATCACCGACACGAGGAAAAGTCAACTAGGTTATGCAACTAGCGGCAAGTATCATATACCCTATTTGATCAGGTCGTTTCATTGTAGTGCCGCACGAATCGACTCAGTCGTGCTAATAAAGTAGCACAATAGTACCCCCTAATGGGAAGTACTCAGCCGTAGTCCCCAACCGTAAGGTAGGTTCTACGCCTACACCGGCACGTTCATGACCTAATGAGGAAAAATATCCAAGGTCAATCTTGGTGAACTTAAGCAACTCTCAAAACCATTACATTTATCAATGACGATATTCATAGCCAAATCAACTATATTGAAAATAGTTAAATCCAAACATTTCACAACTCATGTGTTTACATTTCAAAAAAATACTACAAGTGCTATTCTCATTTATTTAGTTTTAAAATTTGAATAACATTTCAAGAAAATAATATTCATAGCACTCAAATCGTTTATGATGCAAGAAATTGTACAATCCCAACTCACTCGTCACCACAAGATAGGACCCATATTTAGAAGCTCAATTTAATCGTGTTTCGATATGAGTTTGGAAAAAAACTCCGAAGGTAATAAGCTTCAACATACCTCAAGTTGCTTCCAATCTTACCCCAAATGATCCAATAATGCTTACGAGTCACAATCTACATATACGAACTCACATAAATTAATAACGCGTTAAAACAGTACCACTATCTCAACTACGTGTCTAACACTTTAAGTCCAATTTCATAAGTTTAGCAAAAATCTCATTCATCATTTGAAGGAAAGTCCTTGAATTTTAAATCCAAATCCTTCATTACACATATTATGGGATCTAGCCATCCCCTAGAATTCGAAATAACATCGTTCGAACAAGGCCCAATACTATTCATCATCCCTACCATCCAACCCTTCTAGGGTTTCATGAATAGATATTTAAATACAAATTGATCTTCATAAACATACTCTTCTACGTCCATGGAGTATAATATATAAGTTTGGAATGAAGAGATTACTTTTTTGTCAAACCCTAGAAAATTCAAGATTTGAGTTTCTTGAAGTGTTCTTGAGATTTTCTTCAACAATCTATAATTTTCATGTAGTTGAAAAGTTAAGAGGTCTATTTAGTGAACTAAATCTACCAAGAAGGAATTAAATTCCTACCTTAAGGTGTTTTAATGGTAGAGAGTCCTCTTCTCTCTCTAAGCCTTCAAAGACAAAGCCCCGAAAATAAAAGACCAATTCATCCTGTAATTGCCTTTAAAAGGCTTCAAAGCTTGGATGCCTCAGGGGACGCGTCGTATTCACTATCGCGTGCGTCCCAGTCCCTTCAGCTTGAGCGAATGCGAAGGTTGATGCCATGGCTAGAGTTCACTGCTTTGTCCTTGGCAGTTGGGAACACTGCCGCGATGGGGATGCGATGCATCCTAGCCAGCGTGCATCCTCTGAAGCTTCTCATCCTTTGATTCTTGCAAAAAAATTACAATCAAATCTCTTGACTCTTTTAGTATACCCAAAACTCCAACCACCAATCCCATTATACCTATTTTATATGTAAGTGTCCTTATGTAATTTAATTCAACCTTTCACTTAGTTACTAATTAATATTATTCAAGCTCAACATTAGTCCGATTAATTATAGAAATTTGCGGGGCTTTACAGATACAGTCAATAAGAAGGCCTCGATTATCAAGAAACCTTTTCTCCGCTCGTCAAAATGGTGACTATCAAGGCTGTTATTGCCCTGGCAGCTATGAACCAACGAAGCTTATTTTAAATGGATGTTTATAATGTATTTTTTCATGGTGATCTTAAGGGGTAGGTCTATATGCAATTACCTCATAGTTTTAGTAGTCAAGAGAGGAATAGATGTTGCAGACTACTAAAATCACTGTATGGGCTCAAACAAGCTTCTTGACAATGAAATCTCAAGCTCACTACTGCTCTCTTGAAGGTTGGTTTCATACAAAGTCAACATGATCGCTCATTATTCATCCTTAAGAGACACAACAGACAAGTTATAATACTTATATATGTTGATGATCGTCTTATTACAGGTGATAATATTGTCTTGATCAATAAAGCCAAAGATATTCTACAACATGCCTTCAAAATGAAGGATTTGGGAATTCTAAAATATTTTCTAGGAATTGAAGTATGTAGATCTCAAAAGGGAATACTGCTATGCCAAAGAAAATGTGCCTTAGAGCTCATATCTGAGTTAGGCCTGAGAGGTTCTAAACCTGCAATATCACCCATGGAACAGAATAGAAAGTTGACAACTATTGAATATGATCTACATTGCAACCTTCATGATGATGTAGCATTAACAGATGTGATGGAGTACCAGAGATTGGTTGAAAAGTTGCTGTATTTGACATTAACTAGGCCAGACATTGCATACAGAGTACAGACTCTAAGTCAATTCATACAATCACCCAAGAAGTCACACTTAGAAGCAACCTACAGGATAGTGAGATATATAAAGAATGAACCAGGACTCGGGATATTGATGAGTTCAGAAGGAGGTACTACTTTGAAGGCCTATTGTGATACAGACTAGCAAGTTGCCCAAACTCAAGGAGATCAATAACTGATTACCTCGTAAAGCTTGGTGGCTCATTAATATCTTGGAAAACAAAGAAACAAAATACAATGGCAAGGAGCTCAGCTGAATCGGAATACAGGACTGACTATAACAGAACTTGTCTGGCTGATGGGATTGTTCAAAGAGTTAGAGGTCCAGGTTCCTACACCAATTCAGTTGTTTACAGATAGTAAAGCAACAATGCAGATAGCTAATAATCATGTATTTCATGAAAGGACTAAGCACTTAGAGATTGATTGTCACTTTATAAGGGAAAATGTTCAACAAAGTATGATACACCCGGAGTATGTATTGACTAATGAGCAGGAAGCAGATTTGCTGACAAAAGGGCCGGGAAGTGCTCAACATTATCATTTGCTGTCCAAGCTAGGGATGCTGAACATTTTCTCTCTACCTAGCTTGAAGGGGGTGTTGAAATGATAAGTTGACAGTTAGGTAACATCTATATCTGTGAAGCATGTACAGGTTTTGGTGACAGTCTATTAGAATAGCTGGTACATATTAGAGAGTTAGTGATAGTTGATTAAGTAGCTGATTTGGTTATATATACACACACGTGTACAGTCTAATAGTTTAGAGAATTGTATTTTCATTTCTTAAACTGCAGTTGAAAGAAAAGCTTCCAGAAAGTTCTCTCTCTAAACCTCTCTTCTTCGATCTGGCAACCAAGCTCAATTCTCACCCAACAATGGTGAAATTTAACAACTTCTGATGGTCGTTATTTTTTCAAGGCACATTTGTCAATTGATATTGAACGAACCTTTCGTTTATTTGTAGGATCGGAGTGTCAAATTTCATTGCCCTTAATTACTCCTTAGAATAAAAGAGCGAGCATATATGGCGTCATTTTGGTCCACGTACTTTGTGCCATGTCCTTCTAATTACTGCGCTAGTATTCCCTCCATTCATTTTTACTTGTCCACTTTGAATTTTTCATGTCCCTCAAGAAATAATAATTGTAGTTGTATTTTACCATATAACCCCTTATAATTATAGCATTTCAAAAAGCCTTGAGAAATAATTTTGAAAATGAACAATTAATGATAAAGGTAAAATAGAAAAAAAAAATTGTCTTTCTCTTGATTTTGTATAGTGGACAAGTAAAAGAGAAAATATATTTTTAGTATAGTGAACAAGTAAAAGTGAACGGAGGGAGTAGGTCGTAAGGAATAAACTATATGTTAGCATGTTTGGTCAAGCTTCTAAAATCAGCTTATTTTGAGAAATATTTTTCAAAAAAGTACTTCTTATGAGTATTTTTCAAAAAAGTACTTNGTTAAAACTTTAACCTCACATCAGTGCCTAGGGCCTACTGAAGCGCTGCAGATCCTAGCAGAGTATCATGAATGAAGGCCTAAGTGATGCTCATCAGTGTCGGGACAGCGCCAAAAAACGAATAGATAGGTGGTTCAGTATAGTTTTAAGTAAATATCAAAAAAAGAGTTTGTTAATTATATACCATATTTTGATGGTTGAGTGACGAAGGAGAAGAGAGATAGCATTCTNCGCACACCTGAGCAGGTAGTGCAGGGACTACAGACGCCGGGGGCACCTCCAGCTCAGCCGGTTGTACCAGTTCAGGAGTTCGTAGTATCAGCTATGCCGGACGATGAGCAGCGTCGTCGTGAGAGGTTTGGTAGGCTCCAGCCTCCATCGTTTAGTGGTGCTGAGGGCGAGGATACCCAGGGTTTTCTTGACAAGTGCCAGTGGATGCTCCGTACAGCAGGAATTCTTGAGTCTAGTGGTGTGGCATTTACCACCTTTCAGTTTTCGGGGGCTGCCTTTACTTGGTGGGAGGATTTTGAGAGGCGTAGGCCGGTTGGTGCAGCACCCCTTTCTTGGCAGCAGTTCTCCGCTCTCTTCTTAGAGAAGTATGTACCGCAGTCCCGCAGAGAGGAGCTGCGTAGGCAGATTAAGTGGTTGACGCAGGGGGGTATGACCATGACCCAGTATAAAATGAGGTTTTCTGAGTTGGCTCGTCAGGNCTCGTCATGCCATTTGGATGATTCCGACAGATCGTGAGAGGATCAGGAGATTTGTGGATGGCCTTAACTACCATCTCTATATTCTGATGACTAGAGAGAGAGTATTGGGTGCTACGTTCGGGGAGGTGGTTGATATCGCTCGTGAGATTGAGACGGTTCGCCGTCAGGAGCGAGAGGAAAGGGAGGCCAAGAGGCCTCGAGGATCGGGTAGTTATACTGGTGCTCCTTTGAGAGGCCAGTTCCAGCATGGTAGAGGTCATTCTTTCAGGCCTGCTCATTTGGCCCGTCCAGAGTATCGTGGGGCATCTTCCGGCCGTGGTCATCATGGGTCTCAGCAGGGCCAGCCTTCACTCAGCGCCCTTCCAGCTTAGAGTTCATCTCATACCCCATCAGCTCAGGGTTCTTCTGCGCCGAGTGCATCAGCTAGTCACTCCGGTGCGAGGGGTTCCCTTCAGTCCCTATATCCAGCATCGGGTAGTTGTTATGAGTGTGAAGAGTTTGGACATATGAGGAGGCAGTGCCCTCGACTTCGTGATGGTCAGCCTCAGTAGAAGGGTCAGCCCTCGACTTATGCTCCAGTTACTTTACCACCCGCCCAGCCATCTAGGGGTGGAGGTCAGGCAGCCAGGGGTCGCCCTAGAGGGGGAGGTCGATCAGGGGGCGGTCAGGCCTGTTTCTATTCACTCCCAGGCAGACCCGACGCCATTGCTTCGGATGTTGTCATTACAGGTATTATTTCAGTTTGCCACAGAAATGCCTTTGCATTATTTGATTCCGGTTCCACCTTTTCTTATGTGTCATCATAATTTGCTCATTATTTGGGTATGCCCCGTGAGTTTCTTGCTTTACCTGTTCATGTATCTACCTTGGTGGGCGATACTGTTGTTGTAGACCGTGTGTACCGGTCATGTGTGGTGACTATTGGGGGTCTGGAGACCCGAGTAGATCTATTGCTATTGAGCATTGTGGATTTTGATGTCATTTTGGGCATGGATTGGCTATCCCTGTGTCATGCTATTCTAGACTGTCATGCTAAGATAGTCCCTTTGGCTATGCCGGATGTACCGCGGATCGAGTGGCGTGGCATGACTGATTATGTTCCTAGTAGAGTGATCTCTTTCTTGAAGGCCCAGTGTATGGTTGGAAAGGGTTATTTGTCATATCTAGCGTTCGTGAGAGATGTTGGATCTGAGACTCCTAGCATTGATTCTGTTCCAATTGTGAGGGATTTTCCCGATATTTTTCCTGCAGACCTGCCGGGCATGCCACCGGACAGAGATATTGATTTTGGTATTGACCTGGTGCCGGGCACTCAGCCCATTTCTATTACGCCGTATCGGATGGCGCCAGCAGAATTGAAAGAATTGAAGGAGCAGCTTCAAGAACTCCTAGATAAGGGGTTCATTCGGCCTAGTGTGTCACCATGTGGTGCACCGGTTCTGTTAGTAAAGAAGAAGGATGGCACAATGAGAATGTGCATTGATTACAGGCAATTGAACAAAGTAACAATTAAGAACAAGTATCCTTTGCCTCGCATTGATGATTTATTTGACCAGCTTCAAGGAGCGAGGGTGTTCTCTAAGATTGATCTCCGTTCGGGCTATCATCAGTTGAATATCAGGGATTTGAATATTCTTAAGACTGCTTTTAGGACCAGATATGGTCATTATGAGTTCCTTGTGATGTCTTTAGGGCTAACCAATGCCCCAGCAGCGTTCATGCATTTCATGAACAGCGTGTTCCGGGCTTATCTCGATTCATTCATCATAGTCTTCATTGATGATATTCTGGTGTATTCGCATAGTCAGGAGGAGCACGCAGAGCATTTGAGAGTTGTGTTGCAGAGATTGAGAGAGGAGAAGCTTTATGCAAAATTCTCCAAGTGTGAGTTTTGGCTTAGTTCAGTGGCTTTCTTGGGGCACGTGGTGTCCAGCGAGGGTATTTAGTTTGATCCAAAGAAGATAGAGGCGGTTCAGAGTTGGCCTAGACCATCCTTAGCCTCAGAGATTCGTAGCTTTCTCGGTTTGGCAGGCTATTATTGCCGGTTTGTTCAGGGATTTTCATCTATCGCAGCGCCCTTGACCAAGTTGACTCAGAAGGGTGTTTCATTTTTATGGTCGGACGAGTGTGAGGAGAGCTTTCGGAAGCTCAACACGGCGTTGACCACAACTCCAGTATTGGTTCTGCTATCAGCTTTAGGTTCATATACCGTGTATTGTGATGCTTCGAGAGTTAGGATTGGTTGTGTACTGATGCAAGAGGGTAGAGTCATTGTCTATGTTTCTCGTCAGTTGAAGCCCTATGAGAAAAACTACCCCGTTCATGATTTGGAGTTGGCTGCGATAGTTCATGCATTGAGGATTTGGAGGCACTACTTGTATGGCATATCCTGTGAGGTATTCACTGATCACCGCAGTCTTCAGCATTTGTTCAAGTAAAAGGATCTTAATTTGAGGCAGCGAAGATGGTTAGAGTTGCATAAGGATTATGATATTACCATATTGTATCACTTGGGGAAGGCCAATGTGGTGGCCGATTCTTTGAGCCGAAAGGCAGTGAGTATGGGGAGTTTGGCATATATTCCAGTTGGGGAGAGACCCCTTGCAGTTGATGTTCACGCCTTAGCCAATCGGTTTGTGAGACTATATATTTCGGAGCCTAGTCGGGTGTTGGCTTGTGTGGTTTCTCGGTCTTCCTTATATAATCGCATCAGAAAGCGCCAGTATGATGATCCACATTTGCTTGTCCTTAAGGACAGAGTTCAGCATGATGATGCCAGAGATGTGACCATCG